TGACTGATGGAGCAGGTGAGCAGAGCACGCCGCAATGGTCATAAAAATGTGCCAATGGGGTGAGAGGATCGATCGAGTGATCGACTGAGGGGCGCATGATATGTGAAGCGGTTGAATGATGATGCCCTGTGAGCTGAACGGATGGTGTGGCAGAATGGAGAGGACGAAAATGATCATAGCCATGGGACAGTAACACTCGATGTTTTTTTTTGTGTGCAAGTGTTATACGATGCGATGTGTTTGTTGGGTTTGACGGGGGACACAATAGTTAGTCTGTATGTACTGTGACGTTCAAGGCACTTTCTTTTCCGTGACACACCACAAAACGTATTTTGTCAATATCGCTTTTTCAGATTTGACTAATTAAGCAGGATTGTCACATTAATTCACACCCACTGCATGTGCTGAAATATCAAGCTGTGAAATTTTGCAGCGGCACGCCACACCCGCGCCTGGCGGCTGCCCGGCCCCCTATAGTCGGACCGGCAGCTCCGCGCCTGTGATTGGAGTGAACTCTATTACTGCGCAGACTGCTCGGGGGGGGGGAGCAGTGCCGGAGGCGGCTGACTGGGCCGGTAATGGGGGCAGGGTCAGCCGACTCTGATGGCCGGGGGTCACGCACCGAGACGCACGGTCCGAGCTCCGAGCTTACAGACGAAGACGGCGGACCACGGCCGCTGCGGCTGATCCTGACAGATGACACGTTGACCTCTGCAGACATCTGATTTGACCTCTCACCGACCTCTGATTGACCTCTGAACTCAGACATGATCTCTGTTCTAGCCTCTGACCTGGCGCTGATCTCTGGCCGACGAGTTTGACCTCGGGCGAATTCTGACCGGCGCGGCGTTAGATATCATAGCAGTCCTTGAACGATCTCTGAGGGACCTCTGAACCGTGAACCCATACCAGCCGAATTGATCGTCCTAACCAATAACCAGGATACTGTTTTCGGGGAATAATGCAATACTCTGCACGCGTAAAACTGTCCAACGCACAGGCAAGAAAGAAAAGCACGAGTAGATATACAGCGTAACAGAAACAGGAGTAGAAATGTTGTATGAAGGTGGTGTCACTGCAATACAGCCAAAAGTAAATAATGAACGCTGGAGATGAAATATATCAGGGATTACGGAAGCGAACCTGGTTGCTATGCGGAATCCGAGTAGACTTGACCTCCAGCATAACATGGTCTCTATATATGGGGTCCATTGATACCTTATGCCCAGGAAGGATGGTTACCGCGATATAAGAGCATTTGAAGCTAAATTAGTTTTCCGTAGAACTGCAGGATGAAAGAGGAAAACCGTCACGCCAAGAGAGTGTCCATGAGATGGTGTGGTTGCAATGCACCTTAATTTTCGAAGCTGCCTTTTAACCAGCTCAGCGGTGCAGCAATGGATGCCCTCAGTCCGCCCACAGTCGTCAGTGGCCATTCAGTCATCAGGGCCCGTTGAAAACACCTGTCAGCGCTGTATTTCGGGACAGCGAGCTTTGTGACGATGAATGGCCAACGCTGAACCACAACTATTGTGGCTATAATTTCAGGTGTAGCCACCAACAAGGCTGGTGTGAAACTCGACACATCGTATGAATGCCATGCACATTGAGTGATTCTAGAAAAGGCGTTAATATATCTTGAAAAGGCAAAGCGCACATTGCTGCTAGCGTCAGCTCTGGAGCAAGACAATAACATGTGGCCGGCTGCTATGCTATAAAATAAAATCGTAAAAATATGCTGGGAAAGAACACCGACCGTCACTTAAAACCGCCATTAGTGTGCTGCAGCAGCATCTGCTTCTAGCCCCTACCATCTGCAACTGTTGGTGGCTAATTACAAAGCCAGCCCTCCAGCCACTTATGGTTATTGTCCACTGTCGTTTCCTTAGTTTCATTTCCGTGCATCTGGTCTAGTCGTGTCTGCGCGGCACTGGTCTGTGGTCTGCAGTCAGAGCTGTGGTCCAGTTGGATCTGCAGGTCCAGTTGGGTTCGAAGTCCTGTCGAGTTCGCCGTTCAGTCCGGTGCGCCTGGCGCCGGTCCGCCGCCGGTCCGTAAACTATCGGCGGAGCGCCCAGCTAGTGACCGTAAGCAGGCTCTCCTCCGGTGCTGCTCGGGAGCGGACGCGGCTTACCGGTCGTCTCGCCGTCGGTCGGCCGGTCCGTGTGCAGCTGATGGTCCGTTCAGGGAGTGATAACAAGGCGCCGCCGCCGCCAGCGGGGCCGACCAGGAAGGCGTGCTTACTCTCGTTTGGCTTCACAATGCTTATCTACCAGCTTAAATCCTCAGAAGCGAAATCGGGCGCTAGGACGAACCTACATACAACAAGACGGCCGGTCAGGCCATTCGAAGTCGTACAGTATACGAAACAAACACAATAGTCCTGTTTATGAAACATATGGGTAGTACACATTTTGGTACCACTGCTCCCCCCAAAAAACTATTCTTTATTTTTCTTTCATGAACATTGGATCCTTCTATTTATAAACTATGGCCATGCGAGCATGTAGCTGTCCTAGGGATAGTTCAAGCTGTGTAAATAAAACGTAGGCTTTATTTATCCATGTTCGCAATATCCAACGGTAAGCAGCTTAGGGAATAGCATCGTCGCTCTAATACTCTTCCGTGATTGCATTAGCTACCAGACTCTAGTGTAAAAACAGCAAGTTACCGTTCTGTGGGTACCGCCGTAAGTGGGGAGGCTATTTCAGAACAGTGAATGTGGCTTGTTTTATCCACGCTGATATCGATTCGAAACAGCAGAAGCGGGTCGGGAACAGAGAAAATGAGGGAATGGGGAGAAGACAGTGAGTCGTCAGTTGAGTATTGACCTGACGTTTGGCTGCACAGTCCACAACAGCCCAGCCACCGACACCCTCTCTTTCTCTCCCTGCATCGGCTCACAATAACCCAGCCAAGCCATCGGCACCAATCCCTCCCCTCCTCCCCTCCACAGCACCATCCCACAGCAGCCCAACAAGCAAACCACACCCCATCCCTCCCGGCCCCCTCCCCTACACCGTTCGGCTCTCTCCGACACTCACATCGGGGCTCAGTTTTCAGAACCAATCGACAACTTTTCAGGCGAGTTGGCCAGCCGTACACAGCAAATTCTGAGAAATTACATCAATATGCCGAAGCATCTCGTATAGGGGAACCCCCTCAACACGAGTTATATCAAAAAGTATATAGATCCTAAGTGGATGCATTCATTATACGGCTGTGCATTTCCATAAATAACTTTCGCTTCTTTTCATCCTAATGATTGAGCATTGATTTGAATTCGACGAACAATTAGTAAGCGGTAAATAAGGTGCAGCAAAACCAGTGAGGCGCAGCTAGCTTCTCAGTAGTTTGTATGTCCGGCGACTTTCCCTGCACTGCTGTAGCCTGTGGCCTGGGAGGCTCGCCTGCCCTGACCACCAGACGGCGGCCCGGGCGCTGATTCGTCTGCTCGGTGCACTGATAGAGTGATGGATTACTGATGACCGGTCACGGTGCCGGCACGCCCCGCCAAAGGTCGCCGCCGCCATTGGTCGATATCGGTTTTACCGCCGCCGCGGCACGCGCACAGTAGGTATTTCGGTCGGCAGCAGCGGTGCACCGCTCGCGGCAGGACGATAACGTTGGCCGGGCCGTTAATCAGAATTAGCAGCAGACTGGCTACTCGGGGTCGTTAAGTTTGATTGGATTTACTTTTACTCTGTGTTCTAGCGCAAACATAGTCGCGGTTTTCAATGATAAGTAAACATTAGATATGAAGGAAAACGTCGATTTTATTCGTTGGTTGTTGGTTTAGCCTCTGGGTATACGAGCTGTGGCAATTATTTATCACGCTGCGATATAAAATGTTTGCCAATGTGCCATCCAGAATATCCCAGATTTTTATGTGTGACTAGAATGTATCCATTGGATGTCGCTGACCTGTTGAATATGTTAAAATCTGTTTCATATCTAAATAATTGTTTTTTTAATTCTGTCATTATAAATCCGGTACCATTTGCATCATTTAAAGAAACGAGAAACTCATACGAGCTCAGCTCATGACCAGCTCAGCTGTTTCACGGGTAGCGCCTGAAATAGCTGCGCCGGTCATGACTTCACTCAGAAAGTGCAGGCTCTCTTTCCGTGCAGTTTGCAGCCCCCACTCGCCACAATGGCGTACCATTAGCCATTCGGTCAGTCGGCGGCCACCATTAACCATCCAGCACCATCTCGGCTCTTGGGCGAAACCTTTGGCGAGTTAGCCAGGCCAAACGGCCCGGGGCCAGTCGTTAAAGCTGCAGCCATACACGTAATGCTTCCTGCTCATCGCTTCCCCTCGGCGCAATGGCTGCCGGCTCATTACTCGAGCGGCCGTATTCATGGATGCGGCCGCCGATCGCGGGCCGGCCCGCGGATCGGGAAGAACCGGGTAGGGCTCGGGTCAGATCGGGCTCGGGACGGGTCAGCAGCGCCGGCCGCGGCCCGTAATGTGTGTAACGGGGGCGGAGAGGACCACTCTTGTGAGTTGTGGTGGTGGTATCACCAGTTCAGCAAGGAGACACGAGGCCGCGGCTATCGGAATGGCCATCGAGAACCGGGCGCTGACAGACTTCCCCCACGATGTATTGCAGCCACATTATCGGCGACAGTCTCCATGCCTGATCTGGGAGGAAAATATATTGACGTTGTTTGTAAAGTACAGTGTTGGAAGGGCAGGGTTTCAAACAATCTGTAACGTGGCAGTCAACTGCTTCCCCGCTGACTGACTCAATTCATCGAAGTGTGAAATCCGCACTACACAGTAGCGGATACCTGTGAGGACGCTACAGGGGCTCAAGTTTCGTGAATGCCGCCGGTGTGATAAACAGTTGAGGTTAGGTGACCTTAGCGAACATTTAAGGTTGGGGACTGCAAAATGGTTGACATTGTTAGCTAGTCTTTTCTAGATACGAGTATCTAATATGCCAAGAGTATCCAGTAGGTATATAGTTGAAAGTGACCCATTTTTCTCTTTGCAGGTTTAACGGCGATTGCTGACTGTCATCCCGCCACAAAGTAAGTGAGATTCTTTTGGAGTTACTAACCATTTTCAGTTGGGATGTCGCTTGTGTGTCTTTTATGTAGTCTAAAAAAAAACTGTTCAATAACAGATTTGTTCGAAAAATATCATCCTGGGTTATTCGCTTTGACATTGTTTTGACAGTTCACTGGACATTTCTCCCCGCGAAACACACACGCAGACAATCCCCTATATCGAGTGGGCGATACCTTGTTATTGACGTGCCGGCGCTAATTTCGCTCGGCGCCGTGTCGGATTGGGTGCGGTAAAGTCGCCGGTGACGGTGCCGTCCGCTGGCGGCCGGTCTAATCGGACCGCGATCGGTCGCCGGGCCGTGGTTTATCTCCGTGTTATCGCGCCGCGCCGGCTGGGCGAGCCGTGCCGCCGCTCTCCGGCGCTGCGCCGCCGCTCTCCGGCGCTGCGTCATCCACTGTGCGCCGATCCGACACCGGCCCTGTTTACTTGCCGTCGAGCGCAGCCGATCAGGCTATTTTGCAGCCATTCTTAGCGAGACCAGCTCGCGCCCAGAAAGCCGCATTCCATTTCACAGAGGCTGCAGATGCGGCTCTGGAATAGCAGATGCTTTCGGATTTCGCCAGCATTATGCCCCTTTCTTCCTCGCCTGCTCCGGCGCTCTCTGGCTTCCAATCTCTGCCATCGGGCTCCCGCGCACACCTACATCGGCAGCGATAGCAATATCTCCACATCTAAATTGCATTGCCGCAGCCAATAGCGAGAGAGAAACAGCCAGCGGATGAGGCCAACTGAAATCCTAAAGGCAGCACAATAACAATATTCGACAGAAACTCCACCCACACTCCAGAGGCAGCAAGGGCCAGTCAGCACCACGCACCATGCGCTTAAAACACAATGCGTGCGGTAACGGTAAGCGACGTAGGTGCCTGCCTGCATTACAACATACTGCACCATAACAGTACGATTATGACGTAATGATTATGTAATATTACGATGAAAACACACAAATAGGTTCAGTAGCCCTGACATGGACACATTGCCCACACAACTAACGACGTGCAAAACAAAGGCGCTCAGTGGCAGCATTGCTAATGCATTATCGGTCGAGGTGCCGCATCAGCTGTATTTCAGTCGCTCCAATGACGTTATATATCCATTGTCTTAGTGCGCCACAATTGTGCACTGACAGCAGCTCAATGGCAGCGCATTATTTGTAAGTGGCAAGGCTGGGGATGTGTTTAGAACTTCACTTGGTTTGCTGAATACCATGCAGAAGAAACAGACTTCTGCAGAAAACAGCACAATACCGCAGAAATTGAGACCTCTGTGCAGGATCACTGATAAAAAATGTTGTCACTGACTCTTATCAACTGCTGCATACGGCATACCTATAATCAATACGAGGCGCTGAAACACAGTTTAGCTTATACTTGGGCGGTACTCAGGTTTGTGAGCTGAGACAAGTTCAGTTGGGACACGGAGCAAGACGAAAGCAGTGGGCGTACGGTTCTCCAGTAAAAGTCTTGTTGGTTTTGCTTTTTCGGACATATCTGGTCCTATATAATGTTCAAATGCATAAGTATCAACCCGAATTATGTGTATGCACATTTACCACGAGACTGTGAAATTGCATCGTTGTATGCCAAATACTTTCCGAGATATTCACCAAAAACCTCATTTTCTGCCGTTTGGGGTATTCTGGCCGCAATCTTCCTGGGATCGCCTATGACATCAGTAGAGCCATCTAACGAGAGGAACGCGGAAACACAGAATCATGAATGAATCGAGCGCGTAGTAAACGGTGTGTGAAAGGGAGACTCGGCAGAGGCTATCCGGGTGGCCGTCGCGCGGCGCGCCCTTAGGCATCGGCCGACCCTTCGGACCGCGTGGGGTCAGAGGTCGCGCTCGGGAAGTCTCGGCTCTGGGTTTTAGCGCTGTGCAGTCAGGAAGGGAGGATAGGATAGCGCTAGCCCGACTGACTAGTATCTCGGCTGATTCGTGTGGGGTGGAAGGGGGCACAGAACGGGATGGTGGCTAGTGGTGGATGATGGGATGGTGGTTAGGTTAGTGCGTACTGCGTAGAACGTAGCTGAACATGCATTGTTTTTTTCCATGGCAAACAACATGCAGCATTATGTGCGGGATTATGCCAGAACTCATACAAAAGGGAAATAATATTTCGGCCGAGGGAGTGGATGAGTGCCATGACAAAGCATGACGATGCTGCCAAAATCGGGATGCTTTTTTGCCCCCATTTTTTACCCCTAACATGCAGCGCTTAATCCGAACTTGGAGGTCCCCGACTGACCTTAGACCTTAAAATCGCACCCGTCCGGTGCGCCACCTTTTCTTCAGGGGCGCTCTCTTTGGTTGTATCTGTTCTTACCAATAAGTAAAACAAATCGAATGCATAATAAAAAGGCATACCTACCTCGAACACAGTTTTATTCACACCCGCTCGTGTGCATGCTTGTTTTGACCTTTACCTTCTCGCATCATAACATCACTTCAGTGCTTAACCCTCAACGGAAATTTGGCGAAAACTGAGCGCGTGCGTCGTATGAGATGCAGCAACTGGTACCCGAGTTGAATGTCTCAGGTCAACCGATAAACTCTAAGGTCAGTATAAGTGCTCTAACTCGCGGGATCGGTTTTTGGTAAACAACTTCACCACTTAAGTGGTTACAGAGCCAACATAATGGCACCATCGAGTTTTGCATGCTCCAGCTCAAGCGCGTCGAATAGTATACGCTTTGTTTTCGTTGAGGTCAATTTAAGGTGTTCACATCAGAGGCCTCTTGCACCAAAATCCTCTTGCACCAATGCTTGGATTATTTTGCATCGTATACCCAGTCCAAGTCTCAAATGCAACAATTTGCTTGCAAAATTTAGCAAGCACATGTAGGATTATGTATTGGGCTATTGCAAACAAATTTAGCACCTGTAGATTAGCTTATTCTGAAACCGGTTTTTCGATTTTACCTAGCTAGGTAGTTTGGTGCAAGAGGCCTCAGGTCATGGTCAGGGCAGAGACACTCAGGCCACGGAGCTGGCTGATGGCTCAAGGAGGTCATATAGCGGTAGGTCCTCACAGGTCCACTGGTGGCTTCCCGACTCGCTAGCTCAATTTGATGGGGACTTTTTGGTAAAAACTCCTGTGACCTTAGTGACGTCATAAATGAAGTCGCCTAACTTTAAAAGTGAATGCTGGGGCTTGCAAAGATTGTATAAAATTGCGAATTAATGCGCTTGAGACAGCTTTAGATGGCTCCCGGCGTCAAAATGCCAAAATAACAGCTTTCATATTTCCCAATTGATTAATAATCGTGAGGTTGCGTGACCGACCTGACTTCAGGTGACTCTTAAGAAAAATACGAGATAGCTACATACAAGTTGTGAGGACTCTGTGAGATAGTACTAGATCATATAAGCTTCATTCCCCGTTGAAAAGTCCCCTGGCACGAAGGGTGCTGCGACGTCGCGACATTTTGGGACCTTACAGAGGTTCACTTTTGACGTCATTGGTCAACGGCCTGACCTTAACCTTCGCACTTGTAGGAGGGTGTCGAACAGACCTCCTACCCTCAGTTTTTCGCAAATAACTCGCGCAAAAAGCGGCTGATTGCGACGGAAACTTTCAGTACCCTCAAGTTAATCAATATTACGCCTACCCTGTAATTTATATGACCCTGACTCAAAAGACCTTTGACTTGTGACCTGTTTTCCGAAACCATGTTTGGCCGGAATCGCGTTTTGGCGTATTTCGAATAGAGCGCGTTTTATTGTCTTTTTGTGGCTTTAAGCGATCAAACATGTGAAAGGATGTTGATCCCATGGATTCTAGTGGGTATCAAGGTCACGTGAAGGTCAGTCAGGTCACTGAACTTTGATGACCTTTGTTCACTCTTTCGAGTTCTACATGTTTCTAGGGTAGATTTTGGAGTTGATTTCGCATTTAGAAACCGTTTGAACATTTAAGAAGTAGTTTTGGTTCCCTCGTAACATGTGACCTGACCTGACCTGACCCGACCTGGCCTAAATGCACGAAAACATCATCTGTGATCAAAACTAACTTGAAATTTGTGATCAGCACCCCGCAAAACCCTTTAACCTTTAACAGCTTCACTTTACGAAGCTCTAACGGGTCCCGATTCCCCGACTTTTGAGTTATATTGACCTGTCAACCAATGAGCTAGGACCTTAAAATTGGGTATCATCGGCCTCCTCTCGTCACGGGCAACACGCTCTTTTTCCGCGAAGCGTTAGCTCGATCAAGGGCTGAACGGCAAAGGGGTCCAATGGACCCTCCTCCCCCCCCCCCTTTACGATAGACGCTGGCAAAACACCAATATGGGCGAGGGTGAAAATACAGCTGCTGTCATAAAAATTCAGCTTGAATCAAAGGTCAAGCTTGCCAAATTTCAGCTTTCGCAGCTATCAACAAAAATAAACATGTGGAGGCGGCACCCGCCTCCCCGCCCCCCCCCCCTCCTCTCGGCCACTGCCAGCGAGGTTTTAAGCGTATCATACACGTTACAAGGCATCATATCAAGATGACACACCCCAGCAGCCAAATGCACTGAACAAAAACTTATTACCCACGCTAGTCTATCGGCACCATAGCACATGGTCGAGACTGTCATCAGCCACGGACGCGCACTCGACCAACCCTCTGCGCCCGTTGACTGCGGGTGACCTTGACATGTCAAGCCTGATCGGCGGCCGGCCGCTGTCGTGCGTTGTTACACACGGAGGGGAGGGAGACACAAAGCTCTACGTTATAGTTGGCCTCTGACCTTTCCGTGCGCCCTGGTCACTGACCCCGCTCCATGTCGCTGGGCGGTGGCATGGCGGTGGAAACCGGTTCTAGCCTCTACACATGCCACCATCCTAACCCTCCCCTCCCCACGCTACTACGCGGCGTGGAGTACGCTCGTGCGTAACTGGGCGGAGCAAGGGGTCACGCGATACAGGGGCGGAACTGGTTGCCCTCCCGCTCGCCGAGCGACCAACGACTAAT